GACTCTGGGCTGAGTGTCCCCAGTGTCCAGGGCAGGAAGAGGGGCCGACAGCCCCAGGACCCCAGGACCTCAGAGACCACCAGAGTGTGAGGCCCTGATATAGCCCCACAGCCCAGTGTCCTCAGCGGCTCTGCACCGGCAGGAATCTGTGGGAACTAAAGGGCTGCTGAGGGTCTGGCACCCACCCCAGGACCCAGGGTCTCTGGCTGCTCAGGGCCCTGGCGCCTCCCCGGGTCAGGTGATGTCCGCCTTCCTCGGGGATCAAGGTCCCTCTGCTGTTCAAAACCACCCACAGCCCCGTCACCCTGCAGCCCGTTGCCCACCAAGACTCACTGCGATGGACGCTGCGCCCTGGGCTGCGGGACCAGAGCGGCGCCTGCACCGAGTCTGGAGGGTCCAATGGGGTGACGCTGAGTGGACTCTGTCCATGGAGAGGAGTCGGGGAGCCTTGGGGACCCCAGTCCTGGGTGTTGGGGCTCAACCAGCCTCAGGCCCACCCTGCGCAGCGGGAGGCTACCTACCACGCTTTCTTCTACTCACCACCAATGCTCAGCTGAAAGGCGTGCGCCCACCTCTCCCGCGGTGCGGGAGGAGGAGTCTGGCCGCTGGGCTCTGAGATCCCTCTGCAATGTGGGGAGCCTCCCTGAAGCGGCTCCGAGTGTCCGGACTGGCTCTGGCTGCGTGGCCTGAGGGCCAAGGGGTGGGGCCGGGCGGCAACTGATCACAGGGGAAGTCGTGGGAGCAGAGGGCCTCACCGCCTGGCTCTTTCCTCCATTCCCACGTGGTCGGCTCCACACATGCCCGCGGTGGGTCTGGGGTCCATGCGGCCCTCAGGGCCCGGTCAGGGGGGAGGGGGCCTGCGTGGGCCGGCCGTCAGGCACCATGAGGCACGGCCTGGCCGTGCTGCTGGTGGCCTCAGGCATCGGCTCCCCGGCCCACAGCGGGAGCCCAGCACAGGCTGCCACCGCCCACTTCCCCCTGGGCTGGGCCCACGCGGGCCGTGTGGAGATGCTGCTCTCCCAGAGCTGGGCCGCTCCACCGGCCGCACCCCGTTTGCTGGGCCTGTGCCGCCCAGACGTGCCACTGTGGGAGTCCCGGTTTGCCGGCAGGCCGGCTGCAAGTGCGGTGCTGGAGGGCCATCCTGCCTTGCGGCGTGTTCGAGCGGTGGCAGCGGAGCCAGGCGTGAACTGCGCCCTCCATCTTGTCTTGGGTCCTCCATTTAGGGACAGTGCCATGTGCTTCGTGACTGGAAGAAGCCGCTGCTAGACACACCCAGGATTTCTCTGGACTAACCAATAATAATCAAGGGAAGTGAATGCCATCACTATGACCACTTCCTGTACTGACTCATGCCTGGCCAATCAGCAGGGCCCACAGTCCCCTCTCCTGCCCTCACTCCACCCCCCTAAAAACCCCCTGTCCCATCAGGCCTCAGTCTCTTGGCCACTGGACTTTCCACTGTGTCGGTGGGTCTGGTGAACTGGGAGCGCAAGCCGGCTTGCATTAAAAAGGACTCTTTGCTTTTGCATTGGACTGACTGGCTCCCTGGGGGGTCTTGGGAACTTTGAAATGTGGGCACAATACAGCCTCGCGGTGAACGCTGCAGGTCCATTAAGGGGAGCCAAAACGTCCTCCCCCAAGATGATACCGGAAGTCCCACCCTAAATGAAAGTGCAGGTACCTAAACTCGCCTACCACTGTGGAAGCGGGCGCAGTGCTTTTTGGGTGATGTAGTTTTCTCCCCCACCCTAGCCTTGACTTTGGTGAAGGTGACCTGGTGCTGCCAGTGGTGCTGGGGAGGAGATGGGACCAGAGGCTGGGTTCATAGGGACAGACTGACAGGCCCGCCCCGGGGAGGGGGGATTGGGAGAGGCCCCCAAAGAACATATGCACAGGGGAATGGGACACATCTCAACACTATTGAAAATAAAAATACACATTACATTTTATTAAAAATGTACAATAGAGCTCAGCTGGCGCTGTTCAGTGGTTGACTATGACCAGTGAACTGTGAGAGCAGGTTCCAACGCGGGTCAGGCCTGTGCACGGGGCACAGGCCCAGTGTCCAGCGGGCGGCCGCCGCCAACCAGGAATCCACTCCCATCACCCATGGATTCATCTCTCCTCCCCCTTCTCTCTCAAATCAACGCAAAGATTATTTTATGGACTGGAAGGGCTGGCAGGTGTTCAGACCCTCCCTGGGGTCGGAGCTGAGCATTCTCTGGGCTGCTGCCAAGGAGGGGCCTCGGGCGTGAGGGGAGTGGGATGCGGTACTTTCCTGGGTCTGCAGGGCAGTCTGGGCCCCAAGTGGGTGGGGCTCCCCATCGCCCGAGAATGCCACGTCCAGGGCCTTCTCCCTGGGCCTGTCCTTCATCCTCCTGCAGCTCAGGCGCTGCTCCTGGGGGTGAGGTGCCTCTAGGGCTGCAGGTCCTTCCTGCTTGCCCTCCACCGACCCTGCCCTTTGGACTGAAAGGCTGCTGCCTTTTTGGCGTGGTGGCACCTGGCTCCCCAACACAGGGCACCTGCACTCCGGTCCTCCTCCTTCCCTACCTGTTGGCCGCCCACCTGCTCCTGGTCCTGGCACCTGCAGGAGGGGAGCTGGCAGCCTCAGTGACACACCCATAGGACTCAGGATTAAGGGCTGAGTGTGTTTTCAAGCTCTTAGGTCCCAGGGCAGGAAGAGGGGCTGCACAGCCCGAGGACACCACGACCTCAGAGGGCTCAACAGTGTGAGGCCCTGACATCAGCCCCACATCCCAGTCCCCTCAGTGGCTCTACACCTTCAGGAACCTGTGGGAACTAAAGGGCTGTTGAAGGCCTGGCACCCACCACCAGGACCCCGGGCCTGGGTGATGCCCGCATCCTTCAGGGCTCAGTCCAGTGCGCACCTGCTAGTGACCTCATCACCTACAGGGTCCTCCTTCCTGCCCCTCCTGCTGCCCTGTTCTTTCTCTGGACATTTTTGGGAAAATGTCAGAACCCTGCCTCACACAGTGTCCATCTACTGATCATGGCAAATGGTGACCCCGGCTTCCTGAGAATCAAAGTAAAACTCCTCACGCACAACCTTGCCTCTTGCTGTCGCCTTTAGACACAAAACATGCCAGGGTTTGCTGAACCCTCCATGTTCAGCCACACCACCAAGTCCTCACACAGTGACATTGCGGCTCACTGCCCTTTTCCCAGTTAGAGTTCTCTGGTGACTCTTGAGATTGCAATTTTGACTGAATGACTTCCCACAATCACTACACTGATGCAGGAGAAGCCCTGAGATGCCTGGGGAGACTTTCCCAACCTTTCAATTGGTTGAAGATGGTGACTGGACCCACATGATTCCCCACATTCACTACACTCATAAAGCTTTGCACCAGTGTGCACTCTCTGGTGAGTGTTGAGGCTAAACTTTTGATGAATGACCTCCCACAATCACCAAACACATAGGGCTTTTCACCAGTGTGAGTTCTCCAGTGACTGTTGAGGCCACACTTATGCCTGAATGACTTCCCATAATCACCACACATATAGGGCTTTTAACTAGTGTGAACTCTCGTGTTGAATTAGGGTAGAGCATTGCCAGAATAACTTTCCTCAATCAGTGTACTCATGGGGCTTTTCTCCAGTGTGAACTCTCCTGTTGAATGAGGGAAGAGCTTTCTCTAAATGTCCCACAATCAGTACATTCATAGAGTTTTTTTCTTGTGTGAACTCCCTTATGCCGACTGAGGTTAAATATACGTGTAGAAACTTTCCCAAATTTGTTACCCTCATTATTCACTTCTTCAGAGCAGACACTCCGATGTCAAATGACTTTTCCGCTGTTGCTGGCAGCGTTTTCATGTCCACCGCAATTGTGATGACTTTTTCCATAGACAAATTACAGTGAAATGTCACTTGCACTGTATGGCTCCCCAGTGTTGAGAGTTATCTGGTGCTGGAGAAGCCCTGAGATGCCTGGGGAGACTTTCCCAACCTTTCTATTGGTTGAAGGCACCCAAGATCAGAAGCTGCACATGGTAACAAACGAGACCCTCCACAGCTTCTCTCCAGGGCTTCTCTCCACTGCCTTCCCTCTGCTGCTGGTGAGGGTTTGCACTGAAACAGAAGCCTCTCAGACATGTGTCACTGAAGAAGGCTTTCTGCTCCAAGTCTGCTGCTTGTGACTCAGTCAGGTGCAGAATAGCTTTGAACACTGAGAAACACCACTTACACAGATGGGTCTTCTGGGTTGATGGCTCTGTCTTAGAAGCCCTGCGCTGAGACTCTCCTTGTACGATAAACTCTGTTCAGAACAGGCCTCCTCATCTGTTTCACGTAAACAACCTGCAAAGACAGAAATGCTGAGGAATTGAGTGTTGACTGTGGTGACAGGGGAAATCTGATTGCTAGTGTTCTGCACATAATATATGGGTTCAGGCAACCGTCGGAAAATAAGAGAGGTGCCGGAAAGATTAATAAAAGGCTGCTGTGGAAGTCTCATCCACTGAACATCACAAAACAGGAAAGGCCTCACCAGAAATATGACACAACACATGGCAAGCACCTCATGGAAGAGAAGCCAGATCTCCAGCTCAGTCTTCTGCTAACAGCGCTCAGCAGGGCTTTTTTGATGGTGACAGGGGCAAGCAGTAGAGGAGGTTGATGAGGTCCTATTCCAAGTAAAATTCAGTGTAGGAGTAGCTGCTGTTGAGGACTACTTAAGCACTTATGTGCACCTCGTAAGACATGTGGAGGTTAATGTGGGAGATACTGCAGAAGCAAGCAGCCAGCACTGGCCTGGAGCAGCACAGTTTGAACAGTGTTCAGGGAAGGGATTATTGCAAACAGCCGAAGGAGGGTCTTCCAAGAACTGCTCATGGTTCATGTCCGAAAAGACCATAATGTGGCACTGGTCTAAGAACCCTTAGATAGAAGAAGGAGGGAGAAGTGGAAGCCATGCAGGTGGATCTAGTCACTCTCTCAGGAAGAGAAAAGAAAAGCTGGGACCCAGTAAGCTCCCTGTAAGGCTCCTGATTCCCAGGCACTTGCTGCACCTTTTGAGGCAGTGGGTGTTAGCGATGTTCCTAGAGACCTGTGTTCAGGGGTCTCCCCAGAGCTGGCAGCCATGCCCATTTTACATGACAATGGGGGAAATTAGCAGAACCGTTGTACGGCTATGAGAGAGAGAAAGCTACATTTGGAGAACAAAGGAAGAGAGGACATCACCTCAGCACACCAAGAGTGATTTGAAGGTTTTACCTACAAATGAGACAAGTGCAAACACTTCCAGCATCACATCGCAGTACAGAAGTCTCTGAGCTTCATCAAGGAGCCCTCACTCCTCCTCAGAGGAGACAATGCCCCATCCTCAAAATCCATATCCTGTCATGACGGGAACAGTTCAGTCCATGATCAGTTTCTCTCCTAGGCTTTTATAGTCATCCCGCTCCCCCCTCACACACAACTATTTGCTCCCTCAACTCCACACATCAGAGGAGACAGCAGGCCTTGGTCCCATGCAAGTCACTCTGTCCTTATATTCCTACTGATGCTGTGTCTTCCCACAGCAATAAAGGCAGTTGAGCAGAGAGAAGATACCTGAGCTCTGGGCCTCACATGTAGGCCACACTGCCCCTTGTCAATAAAGTGGGTGACAAGAACATAGGCCAGGGAGAGATGTGAGTCATTTGATGCTGCTCTTGTCAGGCAATCTCCTTGTAGTCCCCCAGATGGTTCCTCAAAGACACCAAATACATGGCATCACACTCCCCCTTACACTCTCATTCCAGGGTACTGAGGCCATCAGTTCTCACTACCTGCTGCACATAGTTCTTTGAAAACACTTCTCTCACACAGCTTCCTTCCCAGGCATACAAATTCGAAGGTAACACAGATTTGCCTTGGTGAACATGAGGGGTTTCCTAATCAACTTCAAGTTCAAAATTACTCACCATCTCCATAACCTATTTCTCTCTCATCCTTCTGCTTTACCCATGACAGTGGAGAGTTTCAAGCCCAGGTAACATGGCTGTATTGGTATGCTTCTCATTCCTATGGATCAGTGTGTCAGCCCTCAACAACAAAAGGCAGCTGGGTAGGTAATTGTCATCTAAGCTCTGGACCTGGCATGTAGCAACAAAACACCCCTCTTTTCAGGCAATTACCCTGAAATTACCCCTATTATATCACCCAGACACCATCAGACATGGGCTCACCCTTCATTCATTCTAAGGTCAATGTCAGTGACCAGTGGCCAT